GGAGGAACCACACAACAAACAACCCCAAAATTACAAACACCACACACAATGTGCCATCCTGTCAAATTGAAGAGCAAAGCTTCAACAAATGAATCCTCCCAGTTTTCTCAAGCACTGGGATTATCTTACTCAGTCTACGTGATATTTTAACATTTAAGAGACCTTTCAACAATAGTTCCTGGTTGATCATTTACTTTGGCCATCAAGATACACATAGTGCAGTACAATGCTATGACCACACTGGCTTTCATTCAGTGATCTGACTGAGCCCTAGACAAAAGAGTATTTTCCTTTCTCACAAACACCTTTTAAGGCTTCAGGCTTTACTTGAAGCCTCAAAATGTTTAGCTCTGCCTAAAACAGTAGAGAGGGAGGGTGAGAACTGGGATGCGAAGGTAGTCATCACAACATACTTGACTGGATCTTTTTCCTTCAGTCTCTGATTTGGCCACTGCCCAAGGCAAAATACTCGCCTCATGATGGATCTTTGCTCTGACCCGATAAGAGTGTTCTGCCAGAAAATTCATCCTCATCCTTCAGTTCAAGCTCTCTCCCCTCTTCCCTTTCAGCTTTGCAGAAGATTTCAGAAGTGATTAAATTTCTGCCTAGCAAGCCTTACCTGAGTGCATGAATACAATAGATACAGCGTGGCATATTCTTGCGATCATAGATATCTGTAGTTTCTGGGTAGAATATCTAAAGATAAAACAAAGTTAGCAGTCTGAATCATACTCTATCTAGCCAAATTGCATTAACTATGATAAGCCCAACTCTTCTGCAGTACACTAATGAAACAGCCCATGGAACAACTCTTCAAGCTTCTCTGCCCTGGCCCAACATTTGTCCTATCTGAAATCCTTCCTTTTGCTTCTACCACCCAAATCAGAGGTCCCCTTTTCCTGCCCAAGTTCTACACTCACAGATGAGTACACTCTTCTATGTGCCCACCAAGATACTGGGTCATAAGTTATTAGCGAGGACTTTGGTGAAAGCCAAGAAATAAAAAAATACAACAGAAGAGAAAAATGAAGATTTTGTTTGGACTAAATGGGGTTGAGAAGCAAGAGAAGAGACAGTGACAAAGGGTAACTGAGACCAGCACTGAGGTGCTCTGCATACTACATTTTCAGTTAGCTGAAGCCAAAAGCTTTCAGACAGTCTCAAATGCAAAGTTTAACACAAAGGGGAAGTACTGGAAGCATCAATCCGCTCAGGAGTGCCGACAAAGTATGTTACTTTCTCGTTACTGGAAGGCTCCTTGCTGTTGCCTATAAGCACAAAATAGCATCACTCTTTCTGTAAAAGAAAGAGGAACTGAAGGACCCTCACAATTCCACAGCATCACTTCCCTGGCTCTTCTGCATGGGAAAATACTGAAAGCAGCAATATCTCTCTGTCAATGTACTGGACCCCAGCCCAGTTTCTTTAACATGTCCTCACGTGATTTTTTCCCCAAAAAACCCGCTTACATCTGAAAATCTTGCCTCATACCTGGCACTTCACTTCTGTCACCTCCCTCCTCATTCATTTTTACCTAACAACCTTAACAACATATTTCAGTATTTCCTAATCCAAAATTTGTTCCTGTAAAATCATCATAAATCCCAGCAAGGCTAAACTAATAGATCTCAACAAGTTATCTGAAAAACTTTGCCCAAAAAAGTGTTTAATTTGCAAGCACGTATGAAAACAAAACATGCATCAGATTAAACTATGCAATGATGGTTTTGGTGGGACTAAGCATAACACTGCTTACAAGAAAAGAAAATCCATATTAAAAAAATTTACTCATTATTCACGTATGCAACTTAACTATCAGCACAACACTACAACAGTTTTGTGTATTTTCAGACCACAGTATTTATTAGCTCAGAGCAGTTTATGTGGCCATTCTCCTAGCGAAGCTAATAATTTATATTGGCTTAAACTACACCAGGAACATTTTAACTTGATGTATTTGGTAGGGAAATTTGAAGAAAAGGAGAACATAGTTCTGTTGCGCTACTTTTAGCACAGATTTCTAAAAAAAAAACTTCCACAATCAAACTGTAGCTCAGATATTGTTCAAAAGAATGTATGGCAAGAACAACGTAATGCAGATGTTATGCAAGCTTAGCAACATTAAAGATATGGTACAGAGGAGGAACTCCTTTACTCCTAATCACACTTCATTCAGCAGAATGAAATCATTCAGCAAGTTTTAGAAGAGAATTTCTATAGGGACACAAATCTAGAAAATGGAGAATTAACTACATGAAGCCTGCTGATTCTGTACAACAGCAAATGCTTCTGTGGAATGTAAAGCTTTTTGGAGATTATTTATCCACATGTACAACACAGAAATTACCTTGGGGAGACCGATCTCAGCCATAGCATTCAGCCACTGGATTACATTATCTGTATGCCGAAAGTGGAGACCGGTTGCCTGAAATAAAAACAGGCAGGAACAAGAGGAAGGCCATTAAGAAACAAAATATCACAGCTGCCAAGAACAGCAGAGGTTCATGAAGACTGATACAGAAAACAGTACTCTATCAGAAAAGAAGTCAGAAGTCTTCTATTTATTATTATATTGATTATTTATGACAAGTTCTTTCACATGAGTGCAAGCTCAGATATAAAGCTAAGAGTCTACCCTCCCCCCCAACCCCTTAACCAATGTTCTAGCGTGAAGGTAGAGTTTCTCAGGTAATACTAATATAAACTAACTTTCTGCTTACTTGCTCACAGTAAGTCCACATGCACAGTCTTCTGTTTTAGATGTCTACCTAAAGCAGAATCCATGGCAAACAGCTCTCACCTTATATCTAGTCTGTTCCCTATCATAGATTTTCTTCACAGAAACCACTTTAGGGGAGAAGAAGTTTCCAAGCTTGGCCAGGTAGACTCCATTTCTCAATCCTTCTTCCAGCTCTGTTGTGGGAGGCAGCTCCTCATTCAGACAGGCCTCCATCCATCTGGAAGTGCAAGAACAACAAAATTGGTCACACAAGTCCAAACAGTGAACAAAACCCCACGTTACAGACGTTACATGCTGCTGCTGCTGTCATACTCTAGCATACTACTTACTTCACAATCCGTGTTGTTAAAATGCTACTCAGTAACACTTCAGACAACATATCAAGGAGAAGTACGGAGTCCAGTAGCCAGTTTCACAAGTAATTAAGATACCACCTCACTGTCATATTTCTCCTTTAGCTGTTACTGGTCTAGATCTAGTGGCCAACCCGTCCTTTTAACTAACTTAAATCTTCCTCTTTACTACTGGCTTATCTCACAAGCATTTATTTACTCTACTCTCATTAAGTATTTGCTATTTATTTCATGACTTTGTACCATTTATTCAAGCTCTTCTAGCTAATTTCATAGAGACACCCTACAATGTTGTCATCAAGTCTACCTTCCCAACCTATATATGTTCTCTACTATAAATTTCAAAAATGGGGACACAAAAAAATAGAACAGGCATTCTATTTTCTCTACTATAAATTTCAAAATCTGGGGGGGTGGGGTGGGGTGGGTGTACAAAAAAATAGAACAGGCATTCCTCTCCCCATAACAACTGATTTTCCCTTGTTTCCTTCCATTTTATTTAATGATGTCATGGATCCTCATGACAAAAACAAAGATTACAACAGAAAATAATTGAAAAGTCACTGTTCTCAACACAGAGGTGCACCTTGATATTTATTCTATATAGCGCTACCAGAGGCTGTATACTGCACACTCAGCTATGCAGTTTCTTCCAGAGATGACAGGCTCCCTGCCTGCTTTGTTCTCCGAGAAAGGTAGCTGCACAGCCATGGGCCACTTCCTAAAACATTTTCCTTAGATCATGCCTCACTTGCGGACAAACTCTAAAGGTCTTACAGAAGGGATGAGCCTTGGATCAATAAAGATCAGAGAAGCAGCTTTCAAGACAACAGCAGCCTTATAGCCATTATAGCATTAGCCCATATTATAAGAGAGCTGACAGCGTAACATAAACAGGGTTAATAATCTGGCTCATGAGGATGAGTCATCCAAGTTACTGGAACTGATCTTAAAGACAAGCGAGTAGAGGATCCTGCTTGAACCCAATGAACAGAATTTTAATATTCTAAATACTGTTTCAAATGCATACATAACTGTCAACTATTTAGCTCCGTATTAATCCAGGCAAAATAACAGAAAAACACTGTACTAGATGAATAACTGGTAGTAAATTAACACAACTTCACAGAAATCAGTTCTGTAAAACACACCTGGGAAAACTACAGGGTTCCTGACCAACTGAAACTGCAGACTTTCACATTTGCAAGGTCTGAGGCCTCATGACTCGTAATACTCTGATTAAAATCAAGCACTGTACATACATACAAAAAATAGCTCATACATACTAAGAACAGACATCTCCAAGCAGTGTTGACACGGAGATTCACTGAACAGTGCTGTTTCTAAGACATTTTGGCATAGATGCATGCTATGTGCCCTTCTTTCAGTTTTCCAGGAAGTAAACACAAAAACAGAGGCTGACAAAATTAGATAATTAAAGGATAACACCACTGTTAGCATAACTGTAACTTATAATTAGCACACAGGTGGTCACGGCTTAGAACAGGACTGTTCAAATAACCTAGGCTTCAAACATGGTTAAATATTACGTCATTGATCTGGTTTATCTACAGACCGGGGTTTGTATCCTAAAAGAGAACCGTGACACTGAAAAAAGCATAATGAGTACAGTAGACATAATTAATTCATAGTTTAAAGCTGCAAGACCTAATGTTATTGTAGGGTGTATACAAAGGGGAACAGTGAAGTCAGGCACTACTATTCTACACAACACTTATGAGACTAACCTTGTCACTGTGGTCTGCATTTTTTCAAACTGGAGAGCAGCAATAAGACAGGAAAGAAGTTTTTGATTAGCTAAGATTATACTTCACAGTGAGAAGCCTGAACAATGCAGTACATTCAATTTGTTGAAATAACGTCCGAGAAGCAGCTTGGTGCTCTGACAGTCCTTTGGTAACAGACTGAAATCAGATGACTGGAACTGTAGCCGCTGACATCAGTCTGATCCATCTTTTCTGATAAACAGCAGCAGCAAATCTAAGGCAGCATATGAACTACACATCAATCGACTTCTGAACCACCAATGTTCAGCCCAGCATGCAAGGCTCAATGGAAAGAGCTAAGAAATATTTAACCTGCAATATCTGAGAAGATGACAGAATAAGCACCTGTTCTTTCTGACCTTAAGGGAAAAAAAATACATGATGATTTCTTTACAGAAATTTAGAACAGAAGTATTAAAAATATGAAACGTAATTTGCATTTTGGGGATATTTTTGCACAGTCTACTGTTGATCTCTAATACAGAACACTGTAATAGTACACAACAGAGATGAGATGCATTAAAATTCACCATGGTCAGTTTTTCATCTCTCCTGAGAAGGCAATAAACTGCATTTCTGATTACAGAAGACAGGCAACAGTTAGAAAGTGTTAGAAAATTAAAATCTCCTAAGGCTGCAATATTTAAGAGTCAAAGGAAAGATAACTTTGATTAGTGCAGATACACAGTCTTAGACAATCATCTTGTCTGTATTCAGTTTCAACTATCTCTAAGGTTTACTTTTTTTAATCTACCACAGAGCTAGCCTGTTACTCTACCACAGCTCCTCCATCTTCATGTCTGTTAGCATAAACAGAATGCTTGCTAAAACATCATTTCAGATTAAAATACATCTTCACTACTGAAATTCAAGGGGAACGCCAGTCAAGTTCTCTTGTCTGAACCTATTACTCCTCCATTCCTCTCTATTTGAAACATTAGTGTACAATGCAGTCTCCTAGTACATTAAGCAACCATCTGCCTTTTAAGATGAACAAGCCAGCATTCTTAAAACAACAGGAAAAGGCATAACACTAGTGCTTTGTTCTTTGCTTCTAAGTCTGTATTTGCTGAAACGTACACATCTATTTAGCTCAGCTGCCACTAATCCTCATATGGCCTTTTCTATTAGCACAAGTTAAAATCAACTGTAGTGATTCCAGGAGCATCTAAAAACCTATAGAGCAAACACAGCATAAAGTCCTCAAATTTTTAATTCATCCCTCTTGCGCTTCTGAGGTTTTTTTAAAGATCTAATCGCTGATGCCGTCTTCCTATTTGTGGATTCTGCAGCAGACTTATGCTTACAACTTCACTGTTGAAAAAATACTCATCATTCAATAGAGGTTTTACAAACAGCTTGATTTCACTGCTATTTCTTTGGTTATTCTGATTGTTTTCAAGTATCTGCATTCCTCTCCAGATTACACAGAAAAATATGAAGTTATTTCAAAAGAAAAAACCTCACTGACATTCCATAGCTCCTCATCATAAAGTACCTACAATCAATCAGCCACCTCTACAGTCCCCAAATCTCTGTTCTACTGATTCTTCCATCTGAATGCAAACAACTACTCAAAGACCCATCCCCTTTGCCCAGAAAAGCCTTTTCCTCACACTTGGCTTCTCTACAGCTCCAAGCAGCAGAAGTGACACCTCTGAAAAGCTAACACAAGCAAGAAAAAAGTGCCATGAAGCTTTTCAATAAGGTTGCCACAGTAACTCATCACAGAAACAGGTCAGCAACCAGACGTCTCCAACAGACACAATGGAGGGGATTTCAGGAGAGCCTGGAAGCAGTGGGAATAGAAAAGGGAAACTACAGGTATCTTGGGAACTAGCACTCACAAAAATGAACAGCAGTAAATAGTTTTATGTTCCTGCTGACAGCCCTCCCACAACAGGGAGTGGTTTTCTGCAGGAAACGGGCAACACACCAGATTTTTCCAACTTCTGCTGGCTTCTCATTCCCCAACTCTCACTCACACTTCTAGACTTTCCCAACCCTCAAAACTGGAATATGTTTCCTAATTAATGTCTCACAAAATCCTTCATAAAATTTACAACATGGACAATTGAATCCTCTGCTCTGAATGTCCAGATTACAAAGTCCCTGTGTGTAGAAACTTTCGATCAAGCAAAAAAAGTAGCTGGTTGGAATGGCTGAGACAAACTTTACACAAAAATGACTGGGCCCTAGCACAGCTGAAAACACTCTCACCTGAAATGGGACACTGCAATACAGAATTGCAATGCATGCAAATAGATGGTTTGAAAGAAGAATTGACCTACTCTGTTTTTAGCATTCTCCATCTTGTCTTGCTTTGCTCTGTAGAGTGTGTCTTGGTAAATGGATTCCAGTTGATCATCAAGATTTATTAGCATGGCATTAGGGTTCTTCATTGCCATAAGAGTGTCAGCTGGAACCTGATGGTCAATTGCTTCATTAATGGCAATGACAGCAGCATGTACTGAAAAACAAGTCACAGTTTGCCAGTTAGCCCCAAACACAACAGCTCTGTTAAAAAGTGAGAACTTAACTGGAAAGAGCAGAATAATTATCTGCAAATTAACTGGAAAGCAGAACTATCAAAGTACCTCTCACTCCATCATGGCTTTGTGTTCTTGACAAAGAACAGCAGCCTACTTCCTAGTAGTGTACTCTAGCTAGTCAAATCATCATGTTCCAGAAAGAAAAGAAAAAATAAAAACACCTAAGGTAAGGAAGAAAACCCTCCTCCCAGTCTTCCAAAAGACCTGTACTGTCTTACAACAGGAGGCATTAAACCCAACACTTTAAAAAAAAATCATCTGCCGATTTGAATAATCACACAAAACAACACTCCCATTTTTTCCTTACATGCTGCTTCATCCACAGAAAGTTCATTCGCAAGAATTCCTCCAATCTTGCTGAAGGCAGGC